GATATAAAATACAATATCATATCTCTTGCTGAAATAAAATACAGTATCATATATCTTGCTGATAGAAAATACAATATCATCTCTCTTGCTGATATAAAATACAGTATCATCTCTCTTGCTGATAGAAAATACAAAATCATATCTCTTGTTGATATAAAATACAATATCATATCTCTTACTGGTATAAAATACGATATCATATCTCTTACTGATATAAAATACAGTATCATATCTCTTGCTGATAGAAAATACAGTATCATATCTCTTACTGATATAAAATACAAAATCATATCTCTTGTTGATATAAAATACAATATCATATCTCTTACTGATATAAAATACAGTATCATATCTCTTGCTGATAGAAAATACAGTATCATATCTCTTACTGATATAAAATACAAAATCATATCTCTTGTTGATATAAAATACAATATCATATCTCTTGCTGATATAAAATACAATATCATATCTCTTGCTGATAGAAAATACAGTATCATATCTCTTACTGATATAAAATACAATATCATATCTCTTGCTGATAGAAAATACAATATCATATCTCTTGCTGGTATAAAATACAATATCATATCTCTTGCTGATATAAAATACAATATCATATCTCTTACTGATAGAAAATACAATATCATATCTCTTGCTGATATAAAATACAATATCATATCTCTTGCTGATATAAAATACAGTATCATATCTCTTGCTGGTATAAAATACAATATCATATCTCTTGCTGATATAAAATACAATATCATATCTCTTACTGATATAAAATACAGTATCATATCTCTTGCTGATATAAAATACAATATCATATCTCTTGCTGGTATAAAATACAATATCATATCTCTTGCTGGTATAAAATACAATGTCATATCTCTTGCTGGTATAAAATACAATATCATATCTCTTGCTGGTATAAAATACAATATCATATCTCTTGCTGGTATAAAATACAATAACATATCTCTTGCCGATACAAAATGCAATGAGCTTCCTGTTGCTAATGTTAAAGTGTAAAATGCAATAT